TAGCCCCAGCCACAGTGTGGCTGGCTATAGTGCTGTCTCCACCCCCCTCCATACCCATTATAAGGCACATTCCTCAGGCTGGCCTGCAGGTGGCAGCACTAGCTTTTTTCCAGAGAATAACTGAGGCTGGGGCTCATTGGCACTGGTGTGAATCAGGAGTAATTCCCCTCCCCCCCCCTGCCACCCCCAGGCATGTTCTGCTGCCAGGCAGGGGTAAGTCAGAGGGGCTTGCAGGTCCGCTGAGCTGAGCTTAGTACAAGGACCATGGAGGAGGAGAAAACCCTGTAACAGCTCCCAGCACAGGTTAGCACAGGGGTGAAGGGCTGCCCTAACTTGAACCTATCTGTCAATGGCCCAGCAAGTGGGAGTGCAGCAGCTACACACCCTCCACTGCACTGAAACACCCACTGCTGGGGGTGCTGGGGGCTGTTAGCACCAGCGCTACTGCGCTGATTGCTCTGAACAGCAGGGGTTGCTCAGAGGGTGCATATGGCTCCTGTACACTGACACGGCCAATACAAAAATTCTGGGGGACATGCTGGCTTGGCCCTTGGTGCCCTGCCCAGCTCTGCACTTGTCTGGGCTTGCTGGGACTGATTCACCACTAGTGCCACGGTTCCAGTGATGCACTTGGGAAAATCCCAACTGCCCCGGTGCACTCACAGGCTGAGGAAATAGCTGCCAAGCAGAATGTGCCACGGCTCCCTTTCTGCCATTGGCTCCCTTCCTGCTGTTGGCACTCAGGTCCAACCTTCCCTGGCTCTGGGGCAGACGCTGATGGCTTCGGGGGTGCCCCAGGACCCTGGAAAGCTGCAGCCCATAGGGCGCACCAACGTGTCACCCACTGCTCCAGGTGAGAAGTGTGACCCACACCTTGCATCTGCTCATTTCTCACCTGGCTTGCAGTTGTGCTGCAGATGGGGCATGCGAGCGCATGCTAGGGTCAACACATGTGGAGGTGTCTGGACAAAGGCAGTGGTGTAGGGCAGCTGTGCTGAGTAGCAGGTGTAGGGGTATAGTACAGCGGTGGGTAGGAATGTGGCACAGGGCAAGCGCAGCAAAGCAGCTGGCAGCTTTGTCCCACAAATGGGAACCTCTTATCAAGTGCAATTTCCCCAAATGATGCAACATTTGCTATTTGATCTCCTGTTAGACCAGGCTTCTGGCAATGGGCTGGCCAGGCCGACAGCAAGGAGGGGTCGGGGGCTGCAGCGGGTGCATGGAGTTGTGGTGCACCCAGACTGGGGGTGCTATCGTTCACCACAAATGTAGGCTGGGCCTTTGTATGGCAGGTGTCAAGAGTGCGGGTCTGTGCAAAGTGTCATTAGTAAAACCTGTCTCCTGGGGTCCCACCACAAAGAGTAGCAAAGCAGGGGTTCTGATTCTGCTCTGGAAGGAGGAGCCTTCAGCCCTACCTCACCCCAGCAAGAATCCAGTGGGGCCCTTTCTGGGGCTGGGAGAAAGCAGTTCTGGCAAAGGGAGTCGGAAGCTGCAAAGAGGGGATGGCGGCAGCAGCTCACTTACCGGTGCTGGGAGATCAGAGCTCACCAGTGATGTCTGTGCTCCCCACTTCCCCCTGCAAGTTTCTCACTTCTCCTGTGAAGTGCAATTTCTTTTCAGGTAGGCAACAGAACCAGGCAACCCATTTCCCCTGCCGCTTCCCAGCCCCTATATCCCTCCTCCAGTCTAATCTGTGAGTGTATCACAGTGTGTGAATCTACAAAAGACCAGCAAGTGTTGGGCAAGCCAAGAGGAAGTGAAGACAGTGTCTTAAAAGGAGCAGAGGATGGGCGAGGGGAGTGAATAAGCAGGGAGCAATGAGTCTGCAGAGCAGGGATTCTGCCGGAGGCTGAGTGCCCGGTGGCTGGGTCTGTGCCCCTCAGCTGGGCAGGCGTGGGGAAGCGGTGTTCTTGGGACTGCCCATTGAGCCGGTGAGCTGAATAGAAGGAGGGAGTTAGCACTCTGTCTTGGGTGCTTGTCCCCGCCTCTCTCCACCCCAGCCCTCCCTCTCCTTGGCACTTTGCTCACAGAGCAAGTCTGAAATGCTGCAAGTGCCCAGCGAGAGCAAGAACTGCATGGTGCCCAGAAGGAACCTCAGCACCGGCTGTCCAGGGATGGGATCGAGCTGGGGTCCAGCCCAATACAGGGCCACACGTCACCTCAGGAACTGACCTTGGAACCAGGGAGCACAGGTGAGGCTGGGCATGGAGGGAAATGGCGGGGTGCCCACAGGGAGCTGTGGCAATATTGCCAGGCAGACCCAAAGGGCCACGGAGAGGTACTGCAAGAACCTGCATGAGGGAGGGCGAGGGAGACATGGGGGTGCTATCCAGATACTGTATTACATTGGAGCCCTGAGCCATAGTTTTGGGTGCAGGATGCACTGTCCATCCCTCGCCACTGCAGAACTAACCCCCTATGAACGTCTGAGAGGCAAATGGGACCAAGTCAGGGAGGGCCCGCAGAACTAACCCCCTATGAACTTCAGAGGGGCAAATGGGACCAAGTCAGGGAGGGCCCAGCGCTGGGGAGTGGTGTTCACTCCAGACCCAGAAAAACAAACTCACTTGTGAAAAACACCAGGACAGGAGACAGGACCCGGGTGACAACTACGCTGGGGGGAGCACGTGTCATTTCAGGGCCCACCCTACAAGTGCTCAGACAGCCTAAGCTCGCCGAGGTTATTGTCTGTTATGGGTGTGTACAGCGCCTAACACAGAGAGGTCCTGATTCCTGATGGAACTCAAACCTTCCCTAGCATGGAATCCTGACCTATTCCCTGCCAGGCCCATGTCCATGCATGCAGCCCTTGGTCTGTGTTCAGCAGACCAGCCACACTGAGCCTCTTCTTGCCCCTCCAGGGGAGCTGGCCACAAACTTCTCTGAGGCTGGAGGCTGAACTTTGTGGGTGTTAAACAGAGATCACTGAATGACTCACCCCCAATAATGTGTGGTGACACAAGCCAGAGCCCTGACTCATGTCCCGGCATAGCTCCCTCCTCACTCAACACACCTGCTGCCATCACCACCCCCACCTCTGCGCAACATGACCTCCCCCTCCTCACATCAACATGGCCGCCTTCGCACCCCACAAGGCCACCTCAGTGTAAGGCTGGCTTGCTCCCTGGGCTGCACTGATTTCTACAAGCTTTGAAAGACTGCCCAGGTTCCCCCCTGCTTGTGTGAAGGACACAGTCCCCACGTGTCCTATTGCACGAGGGTGGGAACACTGGCTCGTGGCCTCTGTCTGCTGACAGAGCAAAGGGGAGCACGCTCACCTCCCATCCTGCCTGGCTGAGAAAATGGGTCACTGTAGGGAGGGGCAGGCAGCTTGCCATGTGTGAGGGACAGTGCTGAGGTGTTGAGCTGTGTCTTTAATTTCTGGCAAAGACCTTTGGGGTCCTGCCTCCCCTTTGTCGGAGGAGAAATAGCATCTGTGCTTGGGGCAGCTGCATGCAGGTCCTGCTCTTGCAGGGAAGGCTCAAAGCGAGAAATTGGGACATGCTCCTCTTGTGACAGAACTGCAGTGTGGAGATTAGAGACAAGGGGCCTTACACAAGAAGCTTTACTTTACTTCCTCTCTTGTTTTGCAATTTCTTCAAGGCACATGAAAGAGGGCGAAGTGGCGCCCCCTCATGCCCCAGGTCATAGGGTGACCCGCACTGGGTTTGTCCCTCAGCTGCTAAATCACTTGTCAGTCTGTCAGCAGCCCCCACATGCCCAGCCCAGCATGCCCAGCCCAGCATGCACTCCTGCCTAGGGATGTTAATTGAATAGTTGAGTAACCTCATGAATTCTTATTGGGTAGTCGACTATTCTGTAGTCCCCAGGAGTGGGGCCAGCAGCCAGTGTGCTCCAGCCCCACTCCCGGGGAGGCCCTTGCCAACCCCATGCTGCTTCCTCTCTACCAGAGGCAGCAGTGCAGGGTGCCAGGTGGGAGCTGGTCCACAAGGGGAGGCAGTTTAAAAACTAGCTCCCCTCAGGGTCTGGCTGCTTCCCACCCCGCACTGCAGCAGCCCGTCTGGGGGTGGGATGTGAGCTCCTGCACCCGGCACAAACTGCAACTGAGCCAGGCTGCCTGCCCGCCTGCCTCCTAATAGATGAAGTGGGGGTAGGTCCTGGACCCGGCACAAGCCGGGACTGAGCCATGCTGCTGGCCAGCCTGCTAAAAAAATTACTGTGGGAGGGTGGGGGTGGAACGTGTGTAGTCTATAGCATTAACCTATAAGCTTTTTGCTTATCGGTTAATCAGTTAATTGACTAGACTATTCCATCCCTACTCCAGCCCCCAGAGTGGTGGTTTAGGAGACACACCCTTGCAGTTTCCTTTCAAGAAATGGTGTATCACATAGAACACCCGATTATACCCCTGGCTCCTGAAAGGCCCTTAAGGCAGGAGATAGGCGCTTTCAGCTGTTAAAGCAAATCTGGGCTCTTTACTAACAGTCTCATTCATTTTATTGACATTTTTATACTGCCTGTGTCAATATATAAACTAGGATGCACCTGGAATGAAGTCATACAGCAGGGTGCAGTGTCTTTTTCCAGTAGCGAGAGCAGGTGAAGGGAGTTTCTTAGAGTCCAAAGCCAAAAAAACCCAGTGGTATCATTTAGTTTGACCGCCTGTGTGGTGCAGGTCACAAACCATGCCCAAAATAATCCCTAGAGCTGAGCTTTGAGAAAAGCATCCAATCCTGATTGAACACTGGGTAGCAGGAAGCATTTGGCCTGAGCAGTGGGAGGGATTTGGCATGGGCAATGGGATATGGCAGGGCATGGAATGGGAGACAGACAGCAGGGTCTGAGTAGGGCCAGGAGCAGTTGGTGGGGTACAGGCAGGGCCTGGAGCTAGGGTTGCCAGGTGTCCGGTTTTTGCCCGGACAGTCAGGTAATTGCGTCTGGTAAAAAAACCCAGAAAATGTCCAGTATTTTCTGTTTTTCCTCGGATGGAAGGTCAGTTGGGACATTCTTCCCCTGCTGTGTTTGGTGAGGGTGAGGAGGAGTGGAGAGCTGGGGAGCGTGGGAATTTAAAGGTGCAGTGACCTTTTTTTTCTTTTTTCTCAACAAGTTTGGTGCCCTGTTTGTTTGGGGTTTTTTTGCTCAACCAATTCTTTTCCCCATCATGTTTGGGATTTTTTGTGAAAGTATCTGGCAACCCTACCTGGAGATTTCCTTCCTGAGTCAAAGGGCTGAAGCCAGTGCATGCCCCCTGGATACTGGGCATCTTTTTGCCCCCACCAGCTGTGGCGCACACTGTTTCTTAGTCACTGTAGACTGGCATGCATGGCCTTTGTAGGGGCTGCTGCTTCATTAACTGTATCTCAGTGCTGCCCATGTTGCATCTGGGCTAGCTCCACAGAAGGGAACAAAAGGACTGTTTATGAGAGGGATCCAGGATGTATTGTCTAACATTGATCATACAGCTTTTGGGGCAGTCACACTGTATTATCCCATACACCCCCTTCTCTCTATAGGCTCAGCCTTTTTCCTAAGCAGCTGGGCCATTTCCTTCTAGAACCTGGCCCAGCTGCTCCTCCTTTTGGCTATGAATCCTACTGACCACACAGCTGTGGCTATACTGTTATTTTTAGGGTGCTAGCTTGATCAAAGCTAGTGTAGGTATGGCTACCTAAGCTGGAAATTACATCTTCAGCTCCAGTGTAGGTATGCCTCATGTGTCAGGGCCAGGAGCACTGACAAATTCAGTTTCTAGGGACCACATTCTGTGCAGTGTATGGGACTTGAAATGACATGCTTCATTCTTGATTTTAATTAGATAGATAGATAGATAGATAGATAGATAGATAGATAGATAGATAGATAGAATTATGATAGGTTTGATTGAAAGGTAATAGCATCAGGGCAACATACTTAGACTTCAATAAGACATTTGAGATTGTAGTAAACAAAATGAATATGAGCACAAACTAAAAGCTGGGTAACTGACTGGTCTTAAAATGGAACTATAAATGGGGAAAAACGTAAACAAAAAATAATCTAGTAGCACCTTACAGACTAACAAAACATGTAGATCAGTGGTCCACAACACGGTGCCCACGGACGCCATGGCGCCCACCGGGGCATTTATGTGTGCCTGCCTAGTTGGGGTCGCGACGCGGGATGGCCGGGGGAGGACGGGTCTCACGCGCTGCGGGGCTGAACTCGTGCCGTGACAGGGAGTGGGGAAGCGCCAGCGGCGGGAGAACCTGCTGGGGAGTGCAGCGGAGAAGCCATGGGAGCAGGGCAGCCGGTCTGGAGCGGTGAAATGGCCGTGGTGGGGGGTCTGGCGCCGGTGCAGGTGCACTTGGCACAGGACCAGCCAGCTGGGCAATGCAGCAGGATGACGTCACCCACCAGTGGGGTGACTGATGTAGATGGGGAACCACTGATGTAGATGGTATCATGAGCTTTTAATACTCCTGGCATCTGAAGCAGTGGGTGGTGCCCACAAAAGCTCATGATACCAGGTGCTACTAGACTATTTGTTGTTTTTTAAGTTTTTCCTGTTACAGACTAACTCGGCTACCCCTCTGAAGCTTATAAATGGGGAATTATGAGTGGGTGGGTGTGTTTCTAATGGGTCCAGCAGAAATCTGTTCTTGGCCTTGTGCTATTTACTATTTTTATCAATGAACTGATTGAAAACATAACAAACAGCATCGGTAATTCGGATCATATGATAAGCAGGGTGCAAGCAAACCATCTGCATTTACACAACCATATATATGTAAAGTCTTACATTCAGGGGGAAAACCACGTGGGCTATACTTACAAGATGGGAAGCTATATAGGATAGCAGTGACTCCAAAAAGGACTAGGGGTCCTGGTGCATAATCAACTGAACATAAGCGACCAGTGCAACACCATGGTTAAGTCAGCCAATGTGATCACTGAATGCCTAAACAGGAATATCAAGTAGAAGTAGGGATGTTATCATCACCTCTGTCTTAGGCCACACTGCAAATACCAAATCCAATTCTAGTGTCCTCAGTTCCAAAAGGATGTTAATAAATTGGAAAAAGTTCAGAGAAGAGCCATGGGAACAGTTAAACCAGACTCCAGGAGGTCGAGCTGTCTAGCTTAGGAACCAGAAGGTTAAATGGTGACTCTCAGCCTATAAATAACTACACGGGGAAAGAGAATATCTTTTGTTCGATTGATGAGAGAGACAGGTTTTTGAGCTTACACAAAG